ACTTAGTCACACTGACACTGCCATGAGCAAACTATGGAAAGTTATATTACAAGTTGGCTAGAAAGTCAAGAGGGTGCGTGTCATAAGGGGGAATTAGGCAGCTTGACTATGCTATAGTTTGGAGCAGCAAAGTTTTACTATTTCAGAAGAGCCAGGACACATCTCTTGGGGATCAGCCAAGTTCAAGACTTTAACAACTGCTCTGAGTCTCCAATATGGTCTTGTTCTGGCCATATTCAGGTCAATATGATTTTCTCTGTTTAAAAAAAAAGTTTCTGGAATGGTAAAATCCATTTTTTATCTATCATCTCTAGTTACCTACAACCCAGCATCCCACAGGAAACTCCTCAGCCACTGTCCAACATGATGCTAACAGAAATGGCTCCACATTCCAAATGCTCTGCATGACTTAGAAATGAGATTATGGCCTGCTATCCACATGCTTTCTGAGAAAGCAAGAACACACCAGCTGGGATCACTAGAAGATGATAGAAGAGGCCCTGGACACCACCAGAAGCCACAGGTGGAGAGCTGTCCCAGCTCTCCCTGGAAAGGCAGCCTGCCTAGCCTGCATGTTCCACAGCAGCAGAACACTCTGCTGAGTGTGACATTTGGCTCTAGGTGTATCAGTGGTTGAAAAACTGACTTCTAGTGGCAAAAGCTTAAAAATAATAATTAAAAAAACAGTAAGCTATTTCAAATCAGCCTTAGATATACCAAGTTTGACCTACAACACAAACATCTTTACTTAAATTTTTTAAAAAGAAATCTAACACCTTAGGAAAAAACCATTGGTGTAAGATTTTTTTTTTAGTATCACATTTCGAAGTGCTAAAGTAAAACATTTTACTTTTCCCAAATTTTCCATCTTTTAGCTCTCTTCTTCAGTGACTCTTATCAAACAACTTAGTTCAGATTGAAATTAACTTTTCCATGACTAAGCTTAGTTTTTACTAATAGCCTTTGCTTCAGCCAAACTATGAGAAAGAAAACAATCACTCATTTATTCTACAGCTATTCTAACTATTGTTCTTTCCTGTCCACATCTGCAGCACCATGACAACTCAGGTTAATGTCTGTGCTCCCTCAGGAGATCCACACAGTCCAGCATCCATCCTAGGGCTTGCCCAACTCTGTGAGCAGCTGTTGCAAGGAGTTTTCTGACAAGAACCACTTCTCAAAATAAAAAAATCCCTCTAAACTATCACCACCACAAAAACCTTCTCAGGTTAGCCTGGGGAACACACTCATTTATATTTGGAGGGGGAGAGAAGGAAAGGCAGGGGACAGAAGGGACTTTTGATTATCTTACTTTATTTATTAAAGGGCACCCATAATTCTTCTGGGTGCTCCTGCAAGCAGCAGTGGATCCCTACATTAACCATCATATGCTTTCTCTGCAAGACAAAGAAAAAAAATTAGCAGCATGGAAAAACTCATAGCTAACTATCCTGACCAGCACTGGGAACCAAGCAAGGGGTACAGATTGATCCAAAACTCCAAGCATACCTGTTACATCCATACTTAAAGTTGGAATAGTTCAAACAGGATTAAGTAAATGTATTATTACCAAGACCCAAAGGAGAACAGAACTGCCTGCTCTTCTCATAACATTCATCCAGCACCTTGGAGGCTGGACGAACAAAATACTTAAACATTGATAGCTGGCAGTGAACATCTGCTAGAGTGCCTTGCCTTGCTGTCTCAAACCAAAAGGCAGGAGGTTATCATGACCTCACACAAAGGAGACTGAGACAGAAAAAGTGTTTCACCTGTTCTAATACAAGTATCAATACAAAAGTTTGATGAAACAGGAAAATGGTGCCATACCTTCAGATGCAGAGACTTCAGACTCTAGCAGCAAGGTAATCAAGTGTGAAAAATGCTAATCACTTGTTTTTAAAATTTCAAAAGTTTAATAGAAATAAAATGGTTATTAAAATAGTAATACAATTAAACTAATAATAATTTGGACAATTTGAATTACGACAATATGAGACAATAAAAACAAAGAGTTATGGACTTCGGGTACCTTTTTCTGGACAGCACAAGCCCAAAAAAGGACACCCGTTAACAAAGGATTAACCCTTAAAAACAACAGCCTGTTGCATATCCATACATCTCATAGATGACGCACAAATTCCATTCAAATACAGGATTCTGTCTGGTCACCATCAGCTTCTTCCTCATAATCCTAATGGTGTCGTCCTGCCCGAGCAATGCAGGAAAAAGTTAGTTTCTCCTGATAATGGAGCAATAAATTCTCTTTCTCTGAAAGATTTAGGTGTCCTGCGACTGCTGTCTCAGTGTGAGTCCTTTCTTCAGAAAAAAAGCATCCTACATAGTATAGTTTCTATTTTAATAATTTTGCTATAACCTAAAACTATATTTAACATAGTACTTAAGAGAATTAATACAGCATTACTTTCTAACACAACACCTAATATTCATTTTAATATTTGCAAAAAGCCAATCATAAAACACACATTTTTCACATCAAGATACCTGCCTTTCTAAAAATTTCTGCAGCAGTTCAAATGAAACAGTACAAACTGGACATACCATGGTATTATCAACTATTAGGATGTAAGTACAAGCAAGGAACAGCTAGGCTCTCCACCTAATTCTTTAACTAGCTGATTTACTTTGGAAGTTGATCAGTGAGAGCATTCCAGATTTTTGTGTTCCTTTTCTACATGGAGAAATAAGAAAAGTAGCAGACGCAGATCAAAATTTACTAAGGAAAATATAAGCATCATAGTTGTGATTTCATAAAATTCTTTAATGTAAATCAGCTTGAGATTAAACAAGCACTATACAATACCCTGCCAAGGATCACATCCACAATCAAAATGTTTAAGGGTTCATTTTTAAACCCCCATCCAAAGAGGATTACTGGAATATAATTAAGAGAAAACCCTTTCAACTTTCACATAAGGTCAACACTTGTTGAAGGCGGTTATTTTTGTTGACTATACTGCATGCTTGTGACGTTGATGACGTTTTAGTTACTAAGTATTTGGCAATTTTTCATTGCAAAAGATTCCTCCTCTCATGCCATTGCACAGGAAACCTCATCTCTTTTCCCTGCAAAGGACTATATTGGTTTAGCATTTTGGCCAGAGTTTTTCCCAACAGAAGTATCAGAAAAGCCCAAACATGGGAACTGATCACACACACAAGGGTCTTAACTCTTTCAAAGTCTCTCTTCCTTTTGAGCAGAGCTAAATAATTATGTAATCAGCTCATATACCTCATGAACACTCATCTTCAACATTATTTACTTACTACCAGTTGGTTCTAAAGCCTGAGGAAAGAATGATCTTCTCTACCATCAAATAAGGTGTTTCACACCATTATTTAACAGCTCATGGAATCATAGAATAATGTAGCTTTAAAAGCACCCCCAGAAGTCACAGCTACCTTTTCTACAGCCAGTGAAAACAAGCAGCTCTGAAAGCAAAAGGTTTGCAACAAATTAAGCAGGAGAACCCTATGAAGATCTCTTGGACAATATAGAAGGGAGTTACCCACTCACAGTAGTACACAATAAATTAAATCTAAGAAGTTTCTTTTGTGTGTACACTCTCAATTCATTCACTTTAAATAGCTCCATAATACTATCGTTTTGTTCTTTAAAAAAAAAAAATCTTTAAATGCTGCAATTCCTCAAAGTGCAAAGCAACAGTGTCATGATTTTGAGTGCTGATTTTATTTCAAAAAAAGTTTTAAGGTTTCCACTCCTGGAGCCCTGTCTCTGTTCCTATGTACAAAGGATGACAAGGAGCTTGGTGGGGAAGCAAACAAACTCCTCAAATCAAAACCAATTGAGTCCATCATTCCAGGGGAGAATGTATCCTCAGATGAACAAAAGCAGGCTACTCCTGTCATATGCACAGTGTTAAAAACAGACAAAACTGCTTCTCATTCAACCTTTGATCTCTCTTCTGAAGGTAACACTGATGATCTCCATTGCTGTTCAGCATCTGCAAAGATTCCTCAACTGCCACCTGTATTCCACACTGCTAGGAACATGTCTGCTATATAGGATCAGAAGAAGATTGGAAAACACTGCTGAGATAAGAGTCCAGCCCAAGCCCTAACCACCTTGCCAACTGGACCGTGGCACTCAGTGCTACATCCACTCTTTCCTTAAAGGCCTCCAGGGACAGTGATTCATCACCTCCCTGAGCAGTCCCATCCAATGTCTAATCATCCTTTCTGTGAAGAAACTGCTCCTAACGCCCACCCTGAACCTCCGCAGACACAACCTGAGACAGTATGTATGTTACAACATACATACAAGTGCTAGTGACAAGCTAAAGCACTAAAATGAAAATCAAGCCTGTACCAGACTGCAACATCCAGCATCAGAAGGAGCTACAGTAACCACCTCTAAAATCTTCCCTATTGACATTTGCAAGGAAGAATATTTTTTACCCTTTAGAGACAAAAAATCAGTCTAAGTAAGTTTCAGGTCATCTGTTGTTGTCGTCATTTATAAGCTTATCTACCTGTAAACCAGGGTATAAAACACATGCCATATAATGGTCTGGATTGGGAGGGAGCCTGAAGATCACATAGTTCCAAGCCCTCTGACACGACCAGGAAGACTCCCCCCGAGAGCAGGTGGCTCAGAGCCCCATCTCAGCAGATCTTCCATTTGATAAACCTCCAGCTGCTGGGTCAACGCAGCCAAACCATTCTCCCCACCCGACTTCAGCCCGACTTAAAGCACCTGCAAACGCTCAGGACGGCCGCTAGCGGTCACAGCTACCTTTTCTACAGGCAGTGAAAGCAGCAGGTCGATGGTTAGCGTCTCACAGCGGCAATCACAGGAGATTAAGCCCACCATCCTCCGCTGCGATGGACCGGGTTCCTCTCAGCCCCAGCCTCTGCCTCAATACTTTATTACGGGGGACGCGACGCCGCGACCGAGGCGACTCCCCCACCACCGCCCGGACAGCCCCGGCCCCGTACACCTCGTCGCGCCGCCCTACCCGGGATGGCGAGGTTGGAGAGCGGCAGGGAGCGCAGTGCGGGCGGTAGCGAGCCCATCCAGTCGGCGTTGCCGTCAGCCATAGCCCCCACGGCGCCGCCCCGCCGGCGCTCCCGCATGGCTGGCGGACAGCGCGGCGGAACCGCCACAACTCCGGCACCCGCCACCCTTATGCAATCGGGGGTGACGCCAAGGGGTACGGCGGCTCACCATTGGCCGCCACCCCGCGCCCCGCCCCCAGCCCCGCGCCCGGTGGGGTAGGCGGGGCTGGGGTTGCGGCGTTCATGGAAGCTCGGCGGGATGGATCGGCTGTGGAGGACTGCTGGGCCTTGTGCCCATCGCCCTACTCCCGCAGGGACACCTCGGGGCACACAGCATAGAATGGCGTCCTGACGGGTCTGGTATGCCTCCGGTATGCCACCCTGTGCGTGCAGTCTACTCTAGTGCCCGGTTACTGCACAGGAAGAATGTTCTTTCTCCTGTTCAGCTGGAACTTCCTGGGACTCAGTTTCTGCCCATGGCCTCTGGTCCTCTTGCTGGGCACCACCGAGCACAGCCTGACTCCATTCTGTTGACTCCCTCCCTTAGATACTGATAGACATTGACGAGGTCCCCTCTCAGGCTGCTCAGACCAAACAGGCCCAGTTCCCTCAGCAGTTCCACGTCAGAGAAACACCAGTCCCCCAAAATTCATCCATTCCCTCTACCATAGCACCTGAGAAGCTACCCCCGACACAGAGGGCCAGTAGCTTGGTTTTGTGATGCTGGCTGGTCAGTTAAGTGTCTTATCTGGAGAGATTTACCACTGTCTGGCAAGAGCCAACATGGCAGCAGAAGGGTTAAGGAGCAAGATAGCGCAATCCCCCACCACGTGCTCTTCCACAATTCCTTTCGCCTGACACTCTTACACTTGACCTTTCACTGCATTTAGTTATTGGGGAAAGAATTTTCTCCAAAATAATTTCTGGATTTGCTGTGATACACAAAATTGATCTTCTGAAATACACTTTTCCTCCCTTGCATTCTTATGTGACTTTGAAGGATAATGCTTTGTGAGCAAGTTTTCTTAACCACTCCTTAAAAATATGTACAATCATACTATTTCCCTACTCTTCCCATAGGATATAGAGATGACCAGATAGGCAACACTGAGACCTACTCCATCAAGTTAGTAAAAAAAAGAGAAAAACCCCACAAATGTAATTCTGAAATATAATTTTTCACTGTCAAATTACTAAAGGCTGAATACAAAACACCAAAGATATGTATTTTGGAAGTCCTCTGTTTTGTCTGTAAGGAAGTATTTTTTAATTAGCCAGGTATTTTTCATTTGGTATATTACAGTTTGCACATTATTCACAGAATACTTTAACTGATATACAGTGAAACTGCTGATTGAACTGTATATTTAAAGTATACATAATATATTTGTAAATACGCATTAACTGTATATTTTCATAGAATACAACCAGAATTCTGTTTCCTTCCATAAGTCAGCATTTTTCTTCTCAAGGAAGCCAACAAAGACATTTTGCTTTTAGATCTTTGATACTGAAGAGGCTTAAACCAAGTGTAATTTTTATTATAAATTTTCACAAGGCACTCCTGACCCTCACACTCGAGGAAGAACATGGAGGGTAGCATCTCATGGCATGCATTTCATTGTCCTGCAGCCCTGCTCCCCCTTCCCATTAAGACCACACTTGCCCTGATGTAGGAGACAGCAGTGTGTATGACACCATGAACATTTTCTCTTCTAAAGAAATTTTTATCTTCAACTAAGAGAGTGGTTACATTATGCTGTGTTACATAGGAGCTCCAAACAGTCCCTCCCCCTGCAAGTTTATCTCCTTTAAATATCTGTTCTGCTGCACATTATTCACTCTGTCCTGCTCCCACTTTGCAGCTTGTGGCTGTCCAGGAAAAGAGCACTTGTGAACACCTTGCATGCAGCTGGCAGCCACGGCTGTGCCAAGTGTAGCTTTCCAGGATGAGAAAGCCTTGCAGTTCAGGGGTAATGACTTCACAGAGGTTGGTATGTTCCCAGGGACATCTCTGTGCCTTTGGGCAGGGAAACTGTAAACACTGAAGTCTAGAACCAAAACTGTTAAGGCTGACTACTGTCGCAGTACTGCTGGGTGTCCTTGTCAGGCCCCATCCTGCATTTCTAACAATTTCCCATCTCTCAAAGGCCATAAGTATGGTGTGTTTGACAGGCAACAGAGTCTGAAGAGGAACAGGAGGGTGTGCTCTGACATGGGAGAAGGAATCTAATCACATCTGCCATGACAGCAGATCTTAGCAGTCCTCTGCCATCAGATCAGCTAGAAAAGAGGGGTCTACAGCTGAAGCAGGAAGAATCTCAAACCTTCTCTCTTCACAGATTCCCCAAAACCTCTGAGCATTTGCCTACACTCTTTCATGGTACTGGAGAATGTGACAGCATCGGGTACTTCCGTGCTGTCAGAGCGCAGTTACTTTCTCCCTTGTGCACAGGTAGTTTCAGCACGCCCGGGCTATGATGTGCAGGATAAGCACACCCTGGCTCTTGTGGTTAAGATGGTGTCTAGATCTCCAACCTGCAAAGAACATTTAGACTGCGTGGGACACCACCAGCTTGCAACCAGAGTGGTAAGGGAAGGAGGACATGCATCCATTCAGTATTGTGGGGTGAGACTCACAGACACTTGCCAGCAGTAACCACTAGCAAAACTTTCTTGTGGTCCAAAAACCCCTTCTTTTTCTAAGAAAGAAGAGTATTAAATTACCTGTTGCCTCCACAAAACCTCTTTCCATCTGCACAAAACTTCGTAATTTTTTTCTGTAATCAGTACCAAACTTTGCAATCATGATCATTAATTGAGATAGCCAGAGGGAACAAATGGCATTAATAATACAATTTTATTTTCCAGGGACTAAACTCACAAATTATGTAGGGTCTTGTCACTTGAGACCAATGAAATGCTCCACTTCAAGCAAGTGTTTAAGTGGCAAAACAAACGTGTTAAGCTGCAAAAATGAATGCCTAAGCAGACAAGGAAAACACCACATTATTGACATTTTTCATTCTGTATCAAGACTAGTAGGTTATTGTATTTTTCCATGTTGCTGGAGCATTCCCATATGAATTACATTCAGCAGTGAAGATAGCCTAAAATTTTACTATCAATTTTCTCCCACAGATTATATAGTCACATTTGTGCCTTACGTGGATTTACTGAGAACTCAGCTATTCCCTTTTGTCTGGGTGCAGAGCACAAGCCAATGTCACAGGCAGCCCAGACAATCTAGCAGCTCAAATCCCTCCTGTTTCAAATGCATAGTAAAAAGATTGGCTGTGCAGATCAGGCTGATGCTATTTAAGCACCAAGAGGCATATGGTTTTCACTGTTAGCTAATTCCAAACACACAAATGTGATTTATTTCAATTTTAATATGTCAGCTGCCATATACAGAATATAAATCCAGAACAGTGAACTTTTAAAAGAGCTTTAAAGGAACTGAAAATAAGCTGATAATATCAGGTGCTACAGGGAGCTTAGCCTCTTTCTCCTTACCACATTGAATACCCTGCTAACACATCCCATTCTTAAACAGGCCACATTTACACTGTTAGAAAGCTTTCTGTTAATGTTTTAAAAATCATCCTTTTCAGCCCAAAGTCTACAGTGCCCTGTAAATTCCAAATCCTTACAATGCAATTTATCAGCAGGCAAGAGATTAGTAAATTATTGGAGCAGTTTCTGTGTCTTCCATGTATTTGAAAGGTTACTTTGCTGCTGATGAGAAGAAAACTGCAGGATTCATTTGGAGAGAGAGAAGCTAATTGCTAAATGTTTCATGTAAGTATACTCAGACTCTTCCAAGCTGTTCATTACCATTTCTACCCTGACTGCAGTGGAATCATTTAACATCTCAAACCATCAGACACACTCAATCACAAAGCTCTGCAGACATCACTGCATTGAAAATGCCACTTTTTTCAAGTGCACAACGAGCAGTGGTGTTCATTTTCCATTTTACATCAAGTCAGAAAACCACTGTTACTATCACAGTTTTTGCACCTCCTAAGCCCATTGCAAATACTTAGATTTCTATAATCCAAAATATACCCTGTGTAATATTGATTTCCCCTGTCTTTTTTGCCCACCACTTATAGCCTCAGTGTCAGTTCTATCAATATATTGCCTGCTTCTCTATCTCCCTTTGTTTGCTGTGAGCCAAGCCCTGGCATCTGCGAGCCATATGTTTGACAATAGCGAGCTATTCAATTCTTCATTTACACCACACGAGGGTGTTTCAGGCTATGCAGCATGCCAGAATCAATCTGGAAGTCATCCCGTTTGGAAAGGAACCAAAGGGCAAATACATACATTATTTTTCCACTGGGCAAACTGGTACAAGAGACTTTGAAAGGAAAAAGATAAAGCATCATAAACTACAAACCAGATGGAAGAGTGTTATAAATGATCAATCGAAAGCCAAATTATCAAAAATGCAAAAAGATTTATTTATCTTTTTCTGCAACCTAAATACCGACAAAGTGGTTATACACAGCACGTATCCCACCATTTCAGTATATTCTTTCCCTTCTCTACTGATGCAGATTGTCCCAATCACTTATTGATCTAACAGCCATCCCTCAGGTCTCTGTGCCAATTTTGAGACTCTTGGATTGTCCCATTTCAAAAGCTGTTCTGGAGCCAAACCCTCACCCTTCCAAGGCCACTTCTCTGTCGATTTCAGCCCCCCGCAAATCCGACAGTTTGACAATCCCAATTCTGTGGCAATTTCCTGAACTAAATCAATGAATAAGTTTCGGTCTGGGGAAGGTAGTTCCCCATCAGCATATTGTCTCTGAATACTGCTTGCCCAAAGTTTTCAATCTTTCCTTTTCCACCCTTTTCTTTCTCAGTTCTGACTCCCTACTTTTCAGCTCCTGAGTAATCTCATTAATTTTCCCCTCAGGATCTATTCCATCTTTGTTCCTTGTAAAACAGATAGCCCTATCATTTTGCAGGCAGACTCTATCATCATTTGCCTGTGCTAAGTCCAATATGATCGGCTCTCTGTTCAGGGTGAATTTGCTATCAAATTTTATATTTCTTCCCACCTAGTACATTTTCCCGTT